TTGAAGGCTATCCTACAAAGCCAGAAGCATAGGGAAGATTAGTTAAATGGTCAGTAGAATTAGGAGAATTTGACATCCACTATTTACCACGACCAAACAACGACCAAACGACCAAACATCAAATCACAAGTGTTGGCTGACTTTGTGGTAGAGTGTATAGTGTCTACCTCTGATGAACCACCTTCTCTTCCACGGTTACCTCAGTGGATACCATATCTAGACGGAGCGTCTGGAAACTCAGGAGCTAGTGCGGAAATAATACTCATCTCCCCAAAGAAAGATATTTTGGAGTACGGACTTCGTTTGAAATTCTCAGCCACCAATAATGTTGTTGAATATGAAGCATTTGTCGCCGGATTAAAACTTGTCATCAACTGTTAAGTATGAAACGTGATTATCTACACTGATTCTCAACTCGTTGCATCCCAAGTAGAAGGAAAATTTGACACTCATAACTCACAACTGGTGCAGTATCTCAATCTGGTAAAAATACTTCTCGCCAAAATTAAAACATGTCAGCTCATTCATATATTTCGGGAGCATAATACCCGAGCTGATACCCTCTCCAAGCTTGCAACTTCAACAACTGGAGATCTCTATAAAAGAAGGTATATTGAGGAGATACATTTTCCTAGCATCCATGACCCATGAGAGATACTGTTTATAGCCAAGGGAGCCATCTTGAATGGATCTCATCATCTCCTTCCTTCGAGACAGAACACTGTCAGATGATGCTACTACATCAATTCGCATCCGACGCATAGTTGCCAACTTCATCCTTATAGGGGATGAACTGTACAAGAAGGCATTTGTAGGTTCATATCTCAAGTGTCTTCCTCCATCTGAAGCTGATTATGCTCTATGAGAAGTTCATTCCGAAATATGTGGGGAGCATCTTGGCAGTAGGGCACTTGCTCTTAAAATAATGATGCAAGGCTTCTACTAGCCCACAATCAAGCAAGATACATTAGAATTTGTGCAAAAATGCAAGAATTGTCAATTACACTTTAATCTTACGCATGCACCTCCAGTGGAACTCACTTCTTTTCTAAGTCTTGGTCTTTCGCCCAATGGGGGATAGCTATTGGACAACGAAAAATCATCATCTTAGCTGTCGACTACTTCACCAAATGGGTAGAAGCAGAGTCGCTTGCCAAGATCACAGAAGCAAATGCCAAACAATTTGTCTGGAAAAATATCAACTGTCGCTTTGGGCTCCCCGCGAAGATTATAACCGATAATGGGACTCAATTCACTGGAAGGGTCTTCACATCATTCTGCAAGGATCTTCACATTCAGTTGGTGCACACTGCCGTAGCGCATCCCCAAACAAATGGGCAAATAGAGATGACAAATTAGACGGTGCTCAAGGGGTTGAAGACTTGTCTTGAGAAGGCTGGGGGCAGTGGGTAGAAGAGCTACACAATGTCCTTTGGGCCTATCGCACAACCATGCGAACTCCAACTGGGAAACTCCATATAACTTATGTTTCGGCACTGAGGCTGTTATCCCGGTTGATATCGAAATTTCAAACCCACGAGTTAAGACTTTCAACTCAAATAGCAATGAGGAAAAGCTCCGACAACATTTGGATCTCCCAGAAACACGCAATGTGGCCCATCTTAGAGCTGCATCCTACCACCAAAGAGTTGCTCTTCACTTCAACCGGAGAGTCAAGCCTCGATCTATCTCCGTCGATGACCTGGTCTTGCGTAGTATTCCCAGGGGGATTTGATCTAACCTCTTCCATATGGGTTAACATCGTTGAGTTTTTACTCCGATAAACAATCTTGGATAGGTTAACAGTCCTTGGTGGGCTACACCTGACCGCTACACATGACCCCTTCCACACAGGTTTGTAAGTGAGCAATGCTCCGACAAACAACCTCGGATGGGTTAACAAGTCCTCGGTGGACTTCCATTGGCTCATCTTATGCAGGTTAACATCTTCGAATAACACTCTAATGCATAGCATCGAAAAATTTAATGGTCGCTGGCAATTAATCCACATGATAATCTTGTTACATACTAGAATTTCTAAATGACATTAGATATCCACTGTGACATTTAAAAAAAAAATCTCCATGAATCCTTCTTCGGTGAACTATTTTTACCACTACTCAATATTGAGCACACAATCTGCGCTACTTCACCACCACCCGTTGCATCGCCGCAACGCATCGCCGCGACACACTGCTACAACACATCACGTCGCCCCAATGCCTTGTCGTGACGCACCGCTGCAACTTGTCGCTGCAACAAGACGCTGCAACGCGTCGTAGCGACACACCGCTACAGCGCGTCACCGCTGCCGCGCGTCGCCGCTGAAACACATTGCATCGCCCCAAAGCTTCGCCGCAACACTACATTGCAATGTTTCACTGCAACGCTTCGCCGCAACTCTTCCCCGCAACACTTTCTCGACTCTTCGCCGCAACTCTGCACCGCAACGCTCTGCTTCGTCGCAACTCTTCTCCGCAACTTTTCTCCACAGCTCTCCGCCTCGCCGCAACTCTTCGCTCCGCCGCAAATATTCTCCGCCGCAACTATTCTCCGAAACGTCGAATAATTTTCTTCTCCTCCACACTTGTGATTTTTCCCCTCATCCAATGTCTCTATTTATAGGCATAATATGACACATAGCATTAAATGCACATTATTAAAAAATATATATAATATTAATTAAATAAAACTTTTCATATTCCTTCATCTTTTTACCTTTCAAATTTTGTCTTTATGGCTGAAATTAATTAAAATCATTAATAATAATAATAATAAAATGGTAGAATTTAATAAGTTGTTGTTTTAAATTCTATTAATTTAGTCAATTATTTCTTTGTGGCCTTTGGGATTCTTTTTTAATTAATTAATTAAATTCGGATTCCTAACTGCCTATAGCCCTTCGGATTCAGCTCCCAACGACGGATATAAGGCAGCGCTTCAGCTCCCACTGTTGGTCCAGCTTTAGGTCCCGTCGGGCCCGTTCCTTCATATCCCGCCTCTTCAGCCCGGCCCGCTCCTTCCTTTGGATCTTGCTCAGGGCCCAGGCCTGCTTCCTTCGGATCGCGCTCCTTCACCCAACAAAATAAATTTATATAAATATATATGTCTTTGGTGGGATTTGATCTCGCGCCACCTGCAAATGACAAAAGAAACCCACCAACTGAGCTAAGCTCAATTTAATATTTTATCATGAATAAACAATAATTTTATTTATATACTGTTTGTAATAAAGTATATATATCTAAAATTTTTATGCCCAACAAAAATGAAAAAACTTCTAATCTAGATATTTTCGGACGATGAAATTGGTCTCGCCCGAAAATAGGGGGCAACTGATACACCACCAACAAATTTTCATCATCCGGCATGAATCTCAGTGCAATTTTTTGAACAAGAAACATTCAAACTTCGATTAAGAGTCATTTGGAGCTCTGATTTCAGCAAACTTATAGTCAAACTGATCGACTCGATGAGACGGACCTAATGATATGAAAGTCAGTCTAATCCGAGTCAAATCAAGTCTGGATCAAGTCATTAAACCACTATTGAAAGATTTTCGGGGGAATTTGAAAGGTCAAACGGATGTCGAATCTAGCGAGTTCATAGTCGAATCGAGCGTCTCGACAAGACGAATCCAACAAGCCTAAGATTGCTCAATTCCGACATCGTTAAAGCATTAAAGCCGTTAAAGCACTCAAATGTCCATCAAATGTCATCTGATCAAGGGAAGCTCTCCGGACCGTCCGATCAAAAAGGTTTATATTCATGCATTAATTACACTCAAAACACTATAAATAGAGTCTCACCTCTCACATGAGAGAAGAGAGGCTTAAGAGAGAACTTGAGGCTTTGAGAAGGAGCTCAAGTCCAAGATCATCCTCGTCACCGTCGACCATCGTCAACCACCACCGCCGACCTCTGTCCACCACCGTCGGCCACCGTTGATCGTCGTCGATCACCGCTGACCTCCGTCAACCACAGCCGACCATCATCGATTGTCGTTGACTACCGTCGATCACCGCCGACCTCCATTGAACACCGCTAACTAAACGTCGTCAGTCGACGTTGTAACCTGGAAAACTAGTAACCCTTTTCCGCCTGTGGGAAAAGAGGCATCTGTAATCATCAACTTATAGTTAATTTTTACAACTGGGTCAGGTCCGATGGTTTTTCCCCTTTACGGATTTTCCACGTAAAAATTTCTGATATCATCACAATTTGATTCATTTTCATCTGAGTGTGTGTTGAATCCTCGCGCAACGCTAAGACGATAATTCATTACTCTACTGCCGCGAATTTTCTAGCACGCATTAATAGTCATCATTAAAAATTTAATAATCAATATTAATTGAATAAAAGGAAAGAAATTGAGATTTAAAATGAATACAAGAAATGAGATAATATGGATATAATTGAGCATAAAATTAGAGAGAATAAATCGTTATAATTTGATTCATTTTCATCTGAGTGTGTGTTGAATCCTCGCGCAACGCTAAGACGATAATTCATTACTCTACTGCCGCGAATTTTCTAGCACGCATTAATAGTCATCATTAAAAATTTAATAATCAATATTAATTGAATAAAAGGAAAGAAATTGAGATTTAAAATGAATACAAGAAATGAGATAATATGGATATAATTGAGCATAAAATTAGAGAGAATAAATCGTTATAACCAAGATTCCAATTAAGGCTCTTTAAGTGATTAGAGTGATCAAAACTTTTAAAGTTAAAAATTCTAACCTCAGGGACTTATGATGTTCTTATTTTTATGAAGGACAGTAGGAATATGAGACAGACTCTTTGTACCGAATTTATTTTAAATTGCTAGGTTATTATGTCCTATTTTATGATTAAGTAGTAGTTAAGTTGAGAAAGCACAAAGAAATAGATGTAATAGCTAAGTAAAATAAATGTAGTAGCTAAGTTGAAATGAATCCAAATATAACAATATTCTAGCAATCACGAAAAGCTATAAAGAGTTGATACGCATACCGCATTATATATTGCTCGAAGTTTTGGTAGCTGCCTTGGACAAATCACTGATAATGATACAAAGTACTGAAAAAAAAAGGATATATATAAGAAAACAAATTGGAAAAATGGACTTGAACTATGAAATGGTATAATTTGACGATAACCTGACCAAATGACATCGCAACACTCTCTGCATCACCAAGACATGTTCCAGTTTGTGTTTCAGGACTCTCGATTTGCTCAGCGCCTAGGTTTGGAGGAAAATAGACAGTAGTGGCTAGCGGATAAGGATTGCTTGCAGCAACTAGGATGCAATGTTTCTGACTATCAATTGTTTGAAGACTCTGGCTGCCATTTTTTGAAACTGTGAACATCTGCAAGCAGCACTAGATGATGGTCAAAAGCCTCCAGAACATAAACAACCAAAAACGTTTCTAAGGTATCTTGCAGAAAATAGCAATCAGATGAACACGTAAAAAGAAAAACAAAAAACCTCCAAGAAGAAGAGATCAGATTCCAATCAGGCAGTAAATTCGTAATTGTCATATGCAACTTCAGGGATGAAAACTTTGAAACTTCACAGACATGTATTCCATTAAAGATACTAGACTGTAAAATAATCATTTGGATTACGCATGTTATTTAGAAAGTAACAGGTACATGGATATGATAGCATAAAATTTCAAAAGTATACTACCATGAATGCATAAGCAGCCTGCTAAGCAACCGGAATGCTAAAAGATGGTGTGAACCGGAAAGACAGGTCAACCTAAATTTGCCTCATCATTGAAAATTTAAACAAAATGTGTTGAGTCCCTCACTCTCTATCTCCCTCTCCCTCTCTCTCTTCCACAGTGGTGCCTAAAATTCTCCTATCACAGCAACAAACATAAAATACATGGATCAAAATACTGTACCTTTGGATCAATTTCTTTATAATTTTCATATTGCAATTCATGTGCTTCTTTATAGGATCGCCGGCCCCTTCTTAATTTGTTCCCACATTTTTTGATTTATTTATATTTTGTGATGTCTCTCGAAGATATCTATATCTATCTATCTATCTATCTATATATATATATATATATATATATAAAGAAAGTCCAAGGGCTGATATATAAAAGAGAAAGGTAGAGATAGGTTTTCTTGATAACAACCAAAGAAAAACATCTAACCACCAACCGTCAATGCATCAGAAAGACCTTCAGCAATAGCAGCATCACCAAAACCACCGCCAGAAAATGGTATTCTTGATAACCACCAAAGAAAAACATCTAAATCTTTTGTCCACCCAGTTCTTTGCACCAAGAAAGCTGAAATAAATTTCATCCAAAAGTTTAAATTAGTTAGACAAAAGAAGAAATGAATTCGGCAAGCGGCATACACACACACACACACACAGATATAGATATATATATATATATAACTGCTTGTGATGGCATGCTAGAGTTATGCCAGCACAGTTACCATGAAAGAAAAACTTAGGCAAATAGCAAGGCACGCAAATGAATAAAAAACTATAATTTCATATATTCTTCAAGCATGCCAAGAATTGAAGCAGCACAAACCATGTCAATGGTAGGAATAAGGCCGGCAACAATTCCCTAATGCTTGCTAACCTAATGGTACATCGGAGGGTGTGTGTGTGTGTGAATGTGTGTGTACAAATATATACATATATAGTAGTTGAAGTGTCATACAAAAAAGCAAAAAAACAATACCCAAAGATTAGTTATAGCATGCTTGACGAGAAATCAGGTAAGGGATTTATAAAAAGGGAATAACCAAAAGAGGTATACGCATAATATCGTCTTATATTAAAAATTTACACATCGAACTCTAAGGGAATGATAATAAAATCGTTAACAAAAATATTTATGAATGCAGTAAATAAAAAAATATTATTTTAGAATAAAACAATATAATTTTATTCAAGGCATAGAAGGTAATATGGGGATAGCATTAGTCTTGAATATCTAATAACTCGGCTACAAGGAAAAGTAGAGAATGAACTAATCATGAGTTGACTACTTCACTAGCCAATGAGAAAAAGAGGCTGCAAGCAGAATATGAACGAACATTAACCAATAAGAAAATAACAGAACTAGTGTGGATCATATATGGCCTGTACTAACATCAGTATATAAGAGGCAAAAACATAAAACGTGTTGTGCAAGGAATTCTAAAGCACATTATAGTACAGAAATAAATATGAAGAAAAAAAAAAGAAAAGACTTTTTTGCTTCGCAATCATATATGAAATTTTAATTTAAAGAACCCAGAAAGGTTGCATACCACTGTACGGGCCATGGGAATTAAAGACCACCAACGCAAGTTCAGGGCTTGCCCCGGAAAGTTTCTACAAATTTAAAATAATAATATTAACAATAAACATCGGCAGTGCGAGTAATGTTAAAGAATCCAATTATGAAGTGAAACGTAAATAAAAATAGTGTCATTATCGTGTAAAAATCATCAGAAGCTGACGAAATAAGTTTACAAAGACTTGCTTGTTTGCAACTATTGATACAAATTCCCAAAATAGGAACAAGAACATAATATGTTTTATATTCAACCACTGTTAAATGTTGTAGGGCAATGAATAACTAATGGTAGGAATAAGGCCGTTAAACCTCATATTAGACATGTATCATCCAGTAATATATACTTAAACTATGTAGATGTTTTAATAATAATAGTATATCTTATTGTCATTAAGAGGACATAATTTTATGGATCAGTGGATCTTTTGATGTCCATGAAGATGTTTTTATTAAGAAAATATACATATATTACAGATTATTTTGAAAATTCTTACTGTATGTAGAAAGCCTTTAAACTTCATTCATTGTCTGTTCCCACCTTAGTATTCCAAGATCACTGAGTGGATCATAAAAAAGTGGCACTATAGAGAAGTTAGATTAAGTAATATTGATTATAACAAAAAACCTATTAAGATGATCACTGAAAGTCTCATAATAGGTTCAGAAGGTTTAGATAGATATTATGTTAACTCGAACCAAGTAAAATTGTATTTTACATCTCAAACTTATGAAATCTCATTAGTACTAAGAAATGAAGATACAGTTGAAGATGGAGTATAGGCAAATGAGAATGTTAGTGCCGATGCTCTTACTCAAATGAAGACTGGAAACAAAAATGATACGAGAATTGTAATCTCAACATTGTAGAAGTAATACCATCAACAATGGACATTATTAAAAGTTACTCTAGGCCGTGCAACCACACCTTGTAATGAAAGATTAAGAACATATTGAAACAGAACATCCGTTATTGTATATCAAGAAAAAAGTTGATGAGATGTTTTTCCCTGAAATATAAAAAATATCTCTTGCTATATTCGCATTGGATGGTGAAATAGAGATATGCTGGCAAGGTTAAGACTAAGCTAAGTCAGTCAAAGGGACAATGCAAGATAAACATTGACTTGTGTAAGAGATCAATCAGTAATACAATATTAGATAGAATTTATGACCCTGTCAAAGTATGCGCATCATATAATACATAATATCAAAGAAAATTATCATAAATTTTTATCTGGACAAAAATATTTGACCAGACAGCCCTTAATTCTTCTCGAAATCTATTATTATATTATGTTATTGGTGAGTGTTCAATCAACTCAAGACACAAAAAGCACACATTACTAAATTTGAAAGTTCTAAGGCATTCGAGGCAGTTGCGGTTGTTTGAAGAATGAGTTGTGAAGCTGCTGAAAAAGAAGCCCCATTCAAAAAGTTGCAGTGGCTATTACAAAATTTAAAAAAAAAAAAAAAAGTAAGACAGCTTTCTGGCAGCCACTGCAGCCAAGTCTGGTATGAAAACGCAGCTTTCAGCTACAGCTTTTTGAGAACGCAGGCAAAATGTAGTTTGCCAAACAGAAAAACTATTGTGCAGCGGCACTTCGCCATCCCACCGCCTTCCCAAACGCACCCTAAGTAAGAGAATTCAAGATAGAGTTGATGTGGAAGCTACACGGGTAATAAAAATCATAAAAAGTGTGGGGAATTACATAAAAGAGAGAGTTTGCCCAATTCCAATATGTTCATTTAGTGTCCTCAGTCTAGACACAAAACAAGATATTATATTACAGTTGGTCAGAGGGGTGGAATTAAAATCAAGTGGTACATACACACAAAAGAATTTTGGCAATCAGAAGATGACAAAACATATTGCATCAAATTCAATTCAAAATCAAACTTGACAGAACGTCCAACCTCAAATTTACACACTAACTAAAAAAAAACAAAAGAATCCTTTAATTTCACCACAGGTATAGCTTTTATTTTAAGATAAACCTACTGAGATAAACCTACTAGATTTTTATTTACTACTGCAACTTGGCACTCTTTTATTGCCAAGAAATTTACTATATTGTATGGTTTTATTACAACGTATATGCATCCAACATCATTTATTATTATGCCCCAACAGACGTAGTATCACGTTAAAAATTTATAAGAAGAATTTTAATAAAAATTTGGTTGTATTGTTTCTATTCAAGTAAGGTGCAATTTAGGAATGGGTTGGCTATCTAGTCATTTCTTATAAACAAGTTGTTATAAGAAAGCGATCACTTCTTATTTTCCCGGTGAAAAAATATTCCATTGCATGAAATCAAAAACTACCGATAATGTCAATCACTTCTTTGAAGCCTTTTAAATATTTTAAAACCAATCATCAAGGTTTTCTGGCTCAAATCAAAGGCACAACAAAGTGAATGAATTCAGTGACATATGCATTGATAAAGAATACAAAAAAGTCTTTTTAGAAAAATTACCTGGAGCACCATCAATCAATGAATGAAGTTTCTTAATTGACATAGTACCAAGCTTGGAACCTATTATAAGAGCACCATATCACATGGGAATTAAAAACTTGCTATAGGAATTGGTGGAAAAAGTTTCATCAAACCTAGTACATCACGATGGTGACTCCAACACTCTTTATTAGGGACTAAAATTTCAAGAAGTGTATTGATTATAGAAAATTGAACAGACTCATTATTAGAAGAAAAAAAAAAAATCATGATTTGCTTTATCAACTTGAAAAAGTTTTAATTTTCTCTGTAATTAATTTATGGTCAAATTATTATTATTTGCATATAAAAATGATAATATAATTAAAACAGCTTTCAAAACAATATATGGCAATTATATATTTGTAATGATGTTTTTTAGACAGACAAAGGCTTAGCCTCTACTTGTTTTTTGGATCTTATCAATAGATTTATTAAACCATTCCTAGGCATGTTTGTGTTATATTTACTGATAATATTCTTGTTTATTTAAATAATGAAGGTAAACATGTCAATCATTTGCATGTACTACAAACACTCAAAGATATATGTAAATTTTTACAAATGTGAATTCTAGTTGAAGAGTTCCATGTTTATAGACCATGTGATCAATGGTAAAAGTATTTGTGAAGATCAAAATAAAATTCAAGTTATAACAAACAGACCACCGTTACAAAAGTGAGTAGTTTTGTGGTTTTAAAAATCATTACAAAAAATTGTAGAGGGTTTAAAGGGTTTCTCTAAAATTAAAATTTTATTAAGTTGACTCAGAAAACACTATAATTGAATCGAATGATCAATGTAAAGAATCTTCCAGTAATAAAAAGGTTAGAATATTCCTTTAGGCACTTAAGGGTTTTAGATCTACAATGACGCAATTCTAAGATGCTCACATTGTGTTTAAATTTAGAACAAACAAATGACTGCCTATGCTTCTAAAGAACTAAAGAACCATGAAATAAATAATACTAAACATGATCTAAAATTAGCTACGCTCATGTTTGCTTTAAGAATATGGAGCCATTCTTTTTATGGAGTTTAACTATAAGATTTTCCCAGATTGAGAAAGATTAAAATATATTTTCGCCAAAAAAGAGATAAAGCAAAAAATATTATCTTTAAAAAAGAACTATTGTTGCAAGCAATGTTTAAAATTGTGCAACAACTACTGAGATTTTTTTTTTTCTTGAGACAAGTTGAAACCTTGAGGCATTTTGAGGTGTACGCTATAAAATTATACTATTAAATTAACTAAAATTTTTAAATAATAAATAACAAATTAACATCAAAAAAAGATCATAAACAAATTAATATCAAAATAAAATTTCAAAATAAGATCATAATAATTCAAAATAAAATAATTAAAGGACATTTTTTCGCTCCATATTCAACATAAGCAAATAGTCTAAAGTCACTAATATCACAATTTATAAACTCAAATTCTGCATAACACTCATCACCGAAGGACTTCCCTAGAATTATCATTATAATTAATTATTTTCCCTACTTCCTCACCATTAGTTGTGCCAACATTCACCAAATATTCCTCATCGTCGAACTTTACCATCATCTTCTTTCCTCATAAAAAGGTAAGAAAAACCTATTAAGAGCATTAATTAGATTTTAAAATAAGGACTATATAGATTATCCTATTTTTAATTACTTTAAAATACTTTAATTACATGGGAAATATTGAAAGTTAAATGGGGAAAATTTTCTTCCTGCAAATGTGGCTAGTTGTAATCCAAAAAATCCTTATTTTAGAAAGCCTCTATTGTAGCATGCAGTCAAGAGTCCAGGAGCTGCGTGTAATTGTTGGCTTGATTTGTTTTATATTTAGTAGCATAATAATAACAAATCAACATTAATTTTATATATTTAATTAATAAATTTTAAATTTTTCATTAGCTTAACCTTAATTTATTAGGTTTGAACCCTTCAACATTGCAAAATGGCACACTGCACACCTCCGCCCCACTTATGCATATGCCTCGTCTGGCAGAGGTGAGGCAGAGGCCTCATCCGACCAAAATGAGGCATACGCCTCAGCATTTTTTACAAAATTGCATTGAGATGTGTATTTAATTGTATAATTCTAAACATGATTTGCAGGTACTTTAAGCAGAAAGGCATCAACAAATGCAAAGTAGTTGATTAATCAAATAGATTAGTTGATAAAAGATGTTGATCAGTTGAAATCATCAATTATTACGCCTATAGATGAGAGCTTAATCTAATAGAATCAAATGACAAGAAATCACAAATTTGGCAAAAGCAAACCAAATGGAAGGGTACGAATTGACAAGAATGAGATCTTAAGATGCACGGGTAGAGTTTTAGTTCCAAAATATAATAGCTTAAGAAAACCCCCTATAAAGCAAATTACTCATGTTATGATATTCATCCAGCAAGAAAAAAACATACATCAAGAAATTGGAAGCTTTATTTTGCCGGCCAGAAAAACAAAAATTGAGTTGAGTGTTACAGTCCCTCCCTATTTAAGAATAAAAACTCGATGAAATTGAAAAGATTTGTGGTTG